TATGATGTTTATATAGTGATAGAAATGTTGTGATGACATTGTAGTCCACCAACACCCAGGGGCGTTTCTAGGGTTTGAGGAGATGGGGGGCTTAGCCCAGACACATGTGCTTGTGTCTGTGCGTTTAAGCAGTTCCTCATTATAAAGTCAGTGGAACACGGTGCCACAGTAAATATCTACCCCTGCAATATTAATACTTTTCATCAATGTAAAATGAGAGTGAGTTGTAGTCTTAATTACCCGAGTTACCTGTCAGTCCATATGGCTTCAGGCTGACAGCTCTCGGTTTGTCTGGAAACAAACTGCACAAGAAGTAAACAGCAACAATGTCTTTCCTTTAGTCCGGACCAAATGAAAACACCCTGAGGTCACATTGCTAAGTTTACTCAGTAGTTAATAGTTTATTTGATGCCGAAGCCTTTTACTTCTTCTTCTCCAGCTCTAACCATCTTTTAGTGAAGCTGAACACTCACCTTGTTTTTTTTTTGTGCCTCTGTGTTTTCTGACCAGTTTAGTTTTCCTCTGTTTCTGTCTGTCTCCTGTTTCTGAGTGTATCATAAATCAACCATAGCAGCAGGTACATAAATCAAATACTGACAGCTGAGAGACAGACGCCCACAGGGGAGTGATATTGTAACATCCAGTCTTCTTATGGATCCATGGAAACCGATGGTGACTTGGGTGCTGTTGGATGAAAATCTAATCTTGCTGTAGGTCAGTGTCGCCCAAAGCAGATGGAAAAGCAACCCACTCCAAAGGCAGATGATTACATATTGTTGCACCATTTTTAGTGACGGTCTGTGTGCAGGTCTCAGGTCTATTCACTTGTTATGACATTGTGATAAGGATACAGTCCAGTTCTTTGACTCCTGTAGACTTGTTTTCTCATGAACGGGCGTGAGCATACTTGTCACTCTGCACTATGTAGTTTAATATGAATCACATATAACAGAATCAGTACAAGGTCCATGTGACTCAGCTGGGGTCACTGTGATTTTTGTAGGACTCGGGCTAGCTGCGTCTAATACCTAGAATTTGATTTGCATTTGTGTATTATCTCTCAATGACTGAACAAACTCGTGTCAGAGGAGATTTTAAACAGAGATCTGAACCTCGATTTCGACCTCTCAGATTGTGTGCAGGCTCCACAGTAAAGCTGAAAAATCCATGAAGTGTGAAATTGTACATCACAACATGTAAAAGCACTTAAGCACTGAAGTAAACAATAGGAGTCTCTCTTCTCTCGCAGGGCTGACACACTCACTTGTTCTCTGTTATCAATGGATCAGTGGACAGCAAGTGTCTGGACTAAATGTGTAGGGACTAAATGTCCTCTCAACATCAGTAAGAGAAACCTCTGTAGTCAGAATGAGTTGCTTTGTCTTTAGCAAAAATCCTGGATTTTTAGTGGGTGAGGAGTGAAGGTTGGGGTTGAGGTTACAGTGAGGTTGTAGAGTCAAGGCTTAATGGTTTGGGCTGATTGCAGAGTGTGAATTATACAATGACAATCAGGGGGGTCTAATATTTCTCCAGGGCGAAAAGGGAACCCAAGATGCAGCGCGGAGTAGTTGGTTGATATTGTTCAATTACCCAACCAGGTAAAACTCCTGCATTCCTGAGTGAAAACAAAGAGGGTGTCTATTATTAAAAAACTAATGTTAAAGGCAAAAGTCTAACTGAACCACTACACCAAATGAAATAATAAACTGTGTATTGATGTCAAAACGTATCTCTACAACAACTAATCCTCCGTTGTCTCACTGCTCATGACTGTGCACCAGTGTTTGCTAATATTAGATCATATGTTAGCTAAACTGTAACTTAAGGCTAAAGATAGAAACTAGCAAATATTAACTTCCATCCGTAGAACATTCAGGTCAGCATGGGACATTTTTTATTGTATAAGATTTCCTTAGAATAATTGTTTTAATGTTTGACTCGTGGCAGACCAAAACTGACATTCAGGTCAGCATGGGGCATTTTTTATTGTATTGATCACATGACAGTGATGAGTCCCCATAGAATTATCACCCAACTCCGCAGAGCTTTGAGTGAAAAAGCCCCAAATACCCGCTGTACCCTACCTGCTCTGCAGCAGACAGCAGAGTTAGCAATGAGCTGCATAGTGGAACACTGAGTTTAACGGCTAGGAGTTGGTGTTCAGATTGTATGTGTGTGTAATGTATCCCAGTGAGATCAGGTGATCCAGGTTTAATGATGCATTATTGCAGCCATTGACCTACAGCTGCAGCAAACAGGCTGGGTCAACAGATCAAAATATGCAGGTTTGTAGAGAACATACAGTATATTTTTAAACCTTATATATATATATAATTTCACAAATAGAACATCTGGTATTATGCCTGTGTATAAATTCTAATTATTCCCGTCACCTGGCTGAATAAGGGTTAAAAGCGTGGGTTATCTTGACTGTAAAGGAATGCCCAGTATATCCAACTGTGTCCTAATCTGACAGTGGTTTATTTAGGAAGATTAGAGAGACAGAGAGTCATACTGACAGAGAGGGAAAGAGAGATGATGCTTGTGGTCTAAGTGTGTTGCGTTTAGTGGCTCTAAATGGTTTTGCAGTATGTTATTATGGAGCCATTCTAAAAATGCTGGGATATAGTAGAGGTTATATTCAGAGGCTTCACTGTCCATTGACTCTGTCACACACTGGAGTTAGAGTTCACAGTAAGGAAGCAATGCTGCATTTACAGTGGCTGTGGAAGTATTCTTTCTTCTCCTTCCGCACATTTTATTGTTCTGTAGAAATGAATTTGAAATGGATAATGGATGAAACATTTTGCCCACCAACTTGATAAATTAATAACATATAATGACAAAGTGAAAACATGTTTTTAGAAACTTGCAAATTTAATCAAAATCTAAAATTGAAATCTTAAATCCAGTTCTTAGTTGAAGCACCTTTGTTGGCAGCAATTACAGCTTTGGGTCTTCTTGGCTAAGTGTGTAGAAGCTTTACACACCTGGATTTCGGGCAGTTTATCCCATTCCTCCTAGAGGATCCTCTCAAGCTCTGTCAGATTGGATGGGAAGCGTCTGTGAACAGCCATCTCCAGGTCTCTCCACAGAGGTTCTAATCTATGGGGTTTAAGTCTGGGCTTTGGCTGGGCCACTCAAGGACAGTCGGAGACTTGTCCCAAAGCCACTCCAGTGTTTTCTTGGCTGTATGGGAATGGGACCTGACTTTTGCAGCTCTGTTAGTGAAATGTTGGGTTCTTGGACACCCTACCACACTCCCTGACCAAGGCTCTTTGTACTCCAGGAAGAGACTTGGTGGTTCCAGACTTCTTCCATTTTAAAATGATTGAGGCCACTGTGCTCCTGGCAACGCTCAGAGCTTTAGAAATGTGTTTTATCGATGCCAAATGCAAAGGACTATAGAGATCCTTGGCTTAGTTCTTGTCCCGACAGGCAGTGTGAATTGTACAACCTTACATACATCATTATCAATTCAGTTGCCACAAGTGGACTCCAGTCAAGGATAATTAATGCAAACAGGATGCACCTGACCACAATTTGGAGTCACACTGCAAAGAGTTTTTATGCCTCCACTCCAGTGACAGCCAGAGCCGGAGCGGAGGCATATTGTTTTCAGGTTGCCCGTCCTTCCGTCTCATTCTGGTGGACACAATATCTCAGGAATATCTCACTCTGGCATTATGGGCTTTTGAGAGTAGGTTGGCAACAATGGCAATTTTGTCCATTTAAAGTTAAATCTACAACACAATGAAGTGTGCAAAGCGTGGCGGAGTGTGACTACCTTCTGAAGCCACCATAGATGCTTTTTATAAATTCAGTTTGCACTGGTTTATTCTCACAGCATCAATGGAAGTAATTCGAAACATCTACAACACAGTCAAAAAAATGAAATGTCAAAGTCAGGAATATAAAGTTTTTTTCTTGTGTAAGTTATTGTTTTGGGCCTTTATTCAGACGGACAGGAAAGTCAGCGAGAGAGAGAGAGAGAGAGAGGGGATGCCATGCAGCAAAGGACCACAGGTTGGTTTTGAACCCATCGCTGCTGCGATTGGGCCCAAGCCCATGTGGCCACCGAGGCGCACCACAAAGTGGTTTTCCATTCGATTGTGCACTGTGTCTATCTTTATGCCATCATCAGAAAAACAGAGCGGTGGGTGGAAAGATACGATGCAAGATGCAAAACTGTACTTCTGTGTTTCAACGAAAACAAATGTAAACACTGCACATTTAATAGTTTGAGGTTATACTGATAACTCTGCTGGCGTTGGTATATGTTATATTTTAAACTACTTTACCAAATAAAGGAAACACCTAAAACGGTATTTATAATATGAACAATATCCAATATTACAAAATCTACAGTGTGGGTGAATGCAGCTATGATTTATGTCAGTAATGTTACTCCCCCATGTATGGACTGAACCAATACGTAATCAAGGCTTCAGCCTTTGGGCACACTGAAGGTCTGTGTCCAGTTTCACAGTGTGGCGATTAGTGTGTGGTAATTTGATTCAGTTTGTCGGTTAACACTGTATGGACCTTGAGCCATGACCTGTATTATTACCTCATCCCGAGGCCCTGTGTTGTGTGTAAAGGTCGCTCCTCTCCTTTTCACTCTCTGTTTTCCATCACTACCAGGGTTTTCCGTGTGTTCAATCATTAATTTCACTCCAACGTTTCAGTTAATCTACTGATTTATGTTCAGGTTACATCAATAACAGTTTCAGCTGTTTCAGTTGTATAGTTTTTAAAAAAAAAAAAAAAAAAAAAGGTGTGTTCTGTTGTTTCAGTGTGTTCTGTGATATTAGGGCAGATCATCTGCTTAATTGGTGACACATTGTCATATGTCATTAGGCACTCCAACCAGTGAGTGACTGAGCGCTGTCAAGTGAAACGAGCGTCTGCAGTGAGAGGATGGGAGGGATTGGTTGACATCTGAACTTCCTTCTTGTTGTGTGATGTTACAAAATAACCTGCAATACTCAGCAGTAGCTATTTCACAGTAGTGATGTTGTATGTGTAGACAGAGGATGGAGGACTATTGGCCCCCGTTGACATAGACATGGTAAGATAAATGCATTGCGAAGAGATGTCTCTATTGTAATAATGCAGGCTTGACAACGGGTGCTGCTCTCTGTAGAACTGGTGCAGGTTTTTAGCTAGAAGACACACGTGGCTCTCTGGAAGTTAAACAGCTTCTGTATATTCTGCTTCAGTGATATAACCAGTGTGGATACAATACTGTATATGGACCATACAGAGGGGTCTGCACAAAGCGGAACTGAGGAGGGTGTTTTCTGTTTGTAGAGATGTTGTGAAGTTAAGAAGTGTATTGTTGCCTGTTAGAGTAAATCTGACTTTGTTTTCCTCTTTTTGCCACGATGCTTGTAAAACTGCTGTGTGAGGGCCTTTCTAATCCTTTCTTATCATTTGTTGTTATAATTTCTAGGAGTTTTGTAGTTTTGCGTTGATTGCATTGAGGGTCCAAGGTGAAGGGTGTCATTTTTATGCCTCTGCGCCAGCGACAGCCAGAGTCAGGTTGTCAGTCCGTCCCATTCTTGTGAAAGCGATATCTCAGTAATGCCTGGAAGGAACTTCTTAAAAGTTTGACACAAATGTTCAATAGGACTGAAAGATGATTTCATTAGATTTTGGTGGTCAAAGGTCAAAGGTCAAGGTCACTGTGACTTCACAAAACACATTTTTGACCATAACTCTAAACTAATGGTCAAAGGTCAACTTCACTGTGACATCATAAAGTTGTGCACTGTTCAAAACATCATTCAATGCTGTAACTCAGGAAGGAGAGAATGTGACTGTAACTTGGCTGGTTGTTGATTGCCTACAACCATGTGGTGGTAATTGCTTCACAATATGATCTTCAAAGCAAAAGCCATTTCACATTGTGTCTCTGATAAACATCTATTGACATAATAATAACATCTAGACTTCAACACTGTGTCACAACCTGTGGATGTCTGCATGTGAGCATTCTACTATCAGCAAAAACATACAAATAAATGTAAATGGACTCCAACTCCAATTCGGTCATGACAGTTGTTGACAGATGTTAATCACTGATGCATTCACCATTTGAATTATATTATTACATTATAACAAATTTAAATGACTTACAAGGACAGGATGCAGATGTGGTCTTAACAGGAAGTTGAAGTATTTCTTAATCTTAGATTTCCCATGTCTCAACCATGGCACAGAGAACTGTACGATGTTATGGCAACATGATTTTGTTCATTTTATTCAGATAGTTTTAGTTTTTCAGTCATTCCAATGGCATAGCTTTCCAGATGTCATTATCAGTCGCTATCATTATCAGTCATTGTCATTATCAGTAATGATTTAGTTTATTATAAAAAAATTACATAATGTTCAGAGCTAAATCAAAGTCATTCCCAGACTGTGGCCTAAAGTGTTTTTTTTTACAATACAGGAGAGCAAATATGATCTGAGAGGTGTTTGTAAGTTTACTGTACAAAAAGATAAAAAACAAACAAACAAAGGGATTAAAAGGAGATTCTATTGTTGGGGTTAAATTATGGAACAATATATATAAATTTGCGTTGTCATTGTGAGCATGTTGATGTTTAAAGTTATTTAAATGCAAAGTTATTTATTTATTTATCATTTAGTTGGAAGCACCACTGTACCTAAGGACAGCTCCACACAGCTGCTAGCGTGGCTGTCTTGTTAAGCTCTGATGGGAATTATGCTGCATCATATCCGTCGTATCAAAGAAGCATCACGGCGACAGGAGCGAGTCTGATATACAGATGTTCATAATCTCTACTAAATCATATTCTTCTGTGTTCCACAGTGGCCTGATGAAACTACCCAATCTGACCAGACACATACTCAACCACATGAGCGCTCCAACCAGCATGAAGATTTGTGTGTGTGTGTGTGTGTGTATCTGTGAACATGTCTGAAAACATTCACGAGAGAGAGAGTCCATGTTAAAGGTGAAGTAATATGAATGTGAGTGGCATGGATGTGTACAACATGTCTGAGGAGGAAGTGATTAACTGCACCATCAGTCATGAGATCCACCAGTACGTCTTCTCCTGTGTCTATATCCTTGTACTATTGGTAAGTCAATATTGAACTAACTAAAAAAAAAAACTGTTGAGGTATCTGAATACTTTACAAATGTGCACAGCAAATGTGAAAATGGTTTGTAAAGGGGAAGGACTTGTTTCCAAATAGAAGTCAGTGTGACACAATCATGTCTCAGGCTCTAGAAAGCCTTCCTACCCCTCCTCGAATACACAGCATTACAGCACCGACACTAAAAGGTGCTGTATGTAAGTATCGTAGTTTAAAATGTCACAACATTAACTAAAATGACCAACAGAATGTCAAAAACGTCTATGTGTTGTGTTCAGAGTGCGATTTATGAAATGACAGTTGGGGGGGGGGGCAAGGCAGACAAGATGTGCAGCTAATATCAAGGTTTAGAAATAGTATGGTCCACTTTAGGGTGTCTGAAAGTAGGATAAATATTTCAACCCCCCTGAACTGATTGTGTTGCATGTACTGTGCATGTGTTGTAACTACTAAGTTAGCATGCTAAACACTTCGCTCCAGGCTCTCTCCTCGTAATACAACTTTGTACCCCGAGAGGAGATAGTGAGTCACCGTCAAAGGTGTGTCCGGTCTCATGTGTGAACCTCAGCACCTGTTACACTGTGATTCAACATAGCGCTCTCTATGCAAACCATAGGGGACAAGTTAAAACATGTTTTTTTTTTTACGTGCTATTCAGTAGCAGGTTGTTTCTGGAGTGGTGTCAGGAATGTCAGGGATGATTAAGTGTTTCCAACACTTAAATTAAATATAGTAGAGAAGAGAGCACTCCACCAAATGAGCATTACACTCTTTTAACGATATCAGACTCACAATGGACAGTTTAAAAAAATGTGAGGTTTAAAGAATGATCAAAATTCATGCAGCAGAACCAAAGATCTAATCTTTGTTATTTCAATGCATCCTTCTTCCTTGTCAAAACCTCATTATGGCAGCATTATAGGCGCTAGACTCACAAAAATACCTTTGAAGATATGTCTTTTCCTTTTAAGTTTACATTTCATCAAATCATGGAGGAATCTACAGAGTGCTGTGCTAAGCAAAGGGTCAAGGGTTTATTCTCCAGCCCTCTGCAACACTGCAGGGAATATGCAAGTAGAGAAAGTGGATGGATGAATAGATGGGGTTGTGATCCAAAATCAGTTTAGAAAACTCACCATTCTGCAACTTGCAAGTGTTACCTTTAAATGCAGTTAGCTGTTTATTTCTCCTGTTACCCTCAGCCGTGGGCCTCCACTCTGTCCACCAAAAGATGCATTATATCACTAAAAAGCCCTAAAGGCTCTGCAAGTCAGGTTTGCTTAGGAATTACATCCATATTGCACGATTCTTCATCTCATAATTTACACCCATTGCCAATGTCCGGTGGTGGCGTTGCAGGAAGTAGTGAGTCACACAGGCTCCAGGAGAGGGAAGAGTAATGTGGAAGAAAAGTGCCTGTAACAGCGAATGAAAATAATCACAATGAATGATCTTCTTGATTCTAGATCGGTGTTCCCTCCAACTTGTACTCTCTGTACCACGCTGCTGTACAGCTGAAGCAGAAGAATGAGCTGGGAGTTTATTTAATGAATCTCACCGTGTCTGACCTGTTATACCTGGCGTCGTTACCAATGTGGCTCCAGTACATCTTTCAGGTAAACTGAAAAGCAACCATTTGTTCTGTCATATGTTTGATTTTGCTGAATGCATTGGATGGTGCGAATTTTTAGAATGTAGATGTTAAATTAACGACGTTAAATGTTCACCTCAAACATCAGAATGATACGGGGGCTCTGAGAGCTCAACGCACTGCAACGGCAGAAAACATGCAAATAGACAAAACACAAACAACTTCATGGAAAGATCATGAGCTGCAAATACTCACAGCGAGAGACAGTGAGAGAGAGAGAGACAGTGAGAGAGAGGGAGGGAGGGAGGTTGATGTGTAAGGGCCACAGGTGAGACTTGAACCCGGGCCGCTGTGGGTAGGACTGCGCCTCCATGGTGCTCCTTCTACCAGGTGAGCTGCTTGTTTGTGTTTTGTCTATTTGACGAGAAGAAGGGGAGAAAAAAATGTGATCTCAGTATTTTGGCAATGGCATGATTGTTGGTGCAGACAGGCTCGTTTGACTATTTTTGAACTGCTGATCTCCTCGGATTGTCATGCACAACAGTCTCTAGAGTTCTTACTCAGAGTGGTGTGAAAAAAACATCTGTGGATGGAAACGCTTTGTTGATTAGTGAGGCTCTACCCATTATTAGCGTGGTGTTCCTATTGAATAGCTTTTTGAGCTTAGGAAGTGTTGTTGTTTCAGGATGATGATTGGCAACACAGGGAATGGTTGTGTAAGCTGTGTGGCTTCCTGCTCTACGAGAACATCTACATCAGCATTGGTTTCCTGTGCTGCATCAGTCTGGATCGCTACCTGGCTGTGGTCCATCCTTTAAGGTAACCCTAACCCTAACCCTAACCCTAACCCTAACCCACTGCCATTACTGTAGCTATTCATGGCCTTTCTGCCAGTATGTCATTTTTGATACTACAACTGAGGGGTAAGAAATTCACCAATTCGAGTGTCTTGGTTATCTCAAGATAACTCGAGATAACTGGATAATTATAAAGTTAACGCGAGATGATGAGGCTTTGTTTTCTTGCAAACAATATTTGTGAGTTTGGCCTTTCTCGGCTTCTGTAAAACTGCATATTTGTTGTCATATTTTATTTTCACTGACGGGTAAACAACACATCAAAACAAATTTCATAGGTTATAAATAACTGTGTGTGTGTGTGTGTGTGTGTGTGCGTGCGTTACATAAGCTTCTTATTCATTACTAATTACTTGTTCTTTTATTTTTCTAATCTCCATGTCTCCAGGTTCAGCTCTCTCCGCTCCATGAATGCAGCGTGGCTTGTTAGCGCAATCATCTGGCTGAAGGAGATCGCAGTAGGCGTGGTTTTCTTCCGCCACAAAGAACTGAGCAGAGACCGCAAGAACCAATCGGTGTGTTTCGAGCACTACCCCATGCAGCCGTGGGAGTACCCGATCAACTACTACCGCTTCACCATTGGCTTCATGTTCCCACTGGCCATTTTATCGGTAGGATAACATTTTTACAAATATATTTTTGATCATATTTTATCGTAAAGATTTTGACACGGTCACAGAGGCATTTTATCGCATTGTAATCACATTTGAGTTAATTTATTAATATTTTGCAAACATATTTTTCATGCTCACGGTCGCCTTTCTGCATGCGAGATCTTGAAATGAGTAATGCTGTAGGAAGATGGTGGTAGCTTGTTAAACTTTAAGGTCAAAGATGGTTGATATTTTCTATGACTGGATAAACAGGATGTAACCTGAAACTAGTCTGAGTGGAAGAGACAGACAACCATGAGGAGGTGATTCTAGTTACTTTTTTTTAATGCTTCCTTTATTTCTGTTGGGCACATTGAATGAGCTCTGTGTAGGATAGTTGTGTTATACAAATAAATTTGCCTCGCCTGTGTCTTGACTGTGTAGATGTGTATAAACTGGGCTTGACTGACATCACCTTCGCTCTCCATTTACTTTTGTAGCACCTTTTAGGGCAGGGCATCATTCTGATTGGTTCATAGAGGTTTGTGACATCACATAATAAACAAACATAGCTCCGACCCCCTTTAACTTGAGGTTAGAGGTCTGATCTGAGAACACCCATGTTAGCGTGCAAAGCCTGTCAGTATTTTTACTGACACATGTAATTGGTGTTAGGTTGTGTCTGTGATCAAAATGCCACACTTCATATTCACTTATATGCAAACAGACGAAACAGAAGACATCAGAAAACAAAGACTCACAACACGACATCAGCGTTTCCAGGGGACCCCAGAGTTGTATTCTTGAGCATGATCCCGATGGATCTGATGACTTATCTTTTTTCCTGTCCAGATCAGCTACCTGTGCGTCCTTCGGGCCGTGGGTCGGAGCGCCGGGACACAGCTGGTTCAGAAGATAAGGATCAGGCAGTTAGTCAGCAGCACCATTCTCATCTTCCTTGTCTTTTTCTCGCCGTACCATGTCTTCTTGTTAGTGCGCACCCTGCTGGAGCGGGACTGCAACTTTATTGCAGGTACTGTTCTCCGGTTTTCCACAAGTATTCCAGTGAGTAAGAATGAAAACTCATTTTGACCACACGGCCTGTATTCTTATCTCCTAGGAGTATTTAACTACTACCACCTGTCGTTGCTGCTGACCACCCTGAACTGCGTCGCCGACCCTGCTCTCTACTGCTTCGTCAGCGAAAGTGCCCGCCGCGGCCTGTACAGAGCCATTATCCGACCCTTTGCCAGGATATTCTGTTGCTGCTGTCGCCGTGGCAACGTGAGCCCTGCCAATCCAGCCAGAGATTCCCATGAGGTCGCCGTCGACGAGTACAACGGCCAGCCAACTGTGACGCTGCTCACACACACCAGCACGTTCAGTAACATAAAAGCAGACCCCGCCTGCAATAACACACTTTTAATCACACAGACTGATGAAAAAACTGTAATGCCCTTAATTAACACAAATGAAAAATATGTGCTCGGTGATGGAAAGCCCAGCTGTGTGATAGCCATGGAGGAGCAGAGCCAAAAGACAGAGAGGACTGAGGAGACTGACAAAAGCATCAACTAAAGTGATCCAGGAAGCGATCAGGAACTGTGCTAGCCGGCCTCAGGGCAGACTGACTCCCTCACCACATCTTAGTCTGAGAATCGGACTGAGCTTCTCATGTCACGTGACCAGGGTATTCATTCATGTTGGAACATATATCACCTGGGCTCTATCCTAATGTCCAGCAGGTGTCCACCGCTGGATTAAAGCAGCAGCTGGCTGAATTGGTAATAATAAATTTTGGCAAGACATTTATTTACACTCTCGGTTGTTGTTATTACTGGTTTATTAATGAGTAAAAAGTAAAGTTTATTAGTTATTATCAGTTAGAAAGTATAACTTCTAAAGCCTCCGTGGCGGCGACAGCCACAGGCATATTGTTTTCAGGTCTGTCCCATTCTTGTGGACACGTTATCTCAGTAACACCTTGATGGAACTTCTTCAGATTTTGCACAAACATTCACTTGGACTCAAAGACGAACCGATTTGATTTTGGTGATCAAAATTATGACAACATTTCACACAAATATTTTACTTGACTGTGGATAAACAGGGATGTAACCTGAAACTAGTCTGAGTGGCGGAGGCAGACGACCACGAGGACGTGATTCTAGTTTTTAATAAAGAGTGACTTACTAGAAAGTTGTATCAGTGTTCCTTTAAAAAGATGTCATTGAACTCCAAGTATGTCGACAGCCATGTTGACATACAGCATGTACTGTATTCAGACCACTTCCCTTTCCCTTTTCTGCACGCTTTATTGTGTTGTACATTTAATTTTGAATGGATAAAATGACGATTTGGTATTTGCTGCCAGATTGATTGATTTATGATGAATTTGCAAAAATAATTTTCACATTCTCATAGTTGGTTACTGAGTGTAGATTGATGGGCAGAAATGTCACAATATAACGTGCAAAAGATGAAAGGGTTTGAATACTATCTGAAGCCACTGACTGCTTCCATAATGCTGTTGAAGTCGTTTATAATGTTGCAAATCTGGGACACAGTCATCTTCTAATTACACTGTTAAATGCTGTGATTTATCTTATATTTATAATGATGTCACTGCAGGCAGAAACTCTTTAATAGTGATGACAAATGAGTTCATTTTCTGGCTTAATCCATACACAACTCTTTCTGACATTCAACCCAGATACAGCACACAACAAACAATATCAGAACAAATCTCATAAAAACTTGAAGTTGTGCACATGTTGTGTGCTTGATGGTTAATTGTTTTGATCAATACATTAACACAGTGCGCTAAATTAAAAGGTTAAATACAGATGGTGCAGCTGTAAAATTACTGACAGTAAATTTAAGGAATTTACTGATGTTTGAGGCTTGTCTGACGGGGAAAAAATCATCTAGATTAGGTGGTTGAATAGTATAGTTGTTGTTGCTTCTACAGTGTTTCTTTCAGTGCACTGTAATACACATACAACAGAGTATTAGGGTCACACTGAGGGAAAAAAAGATCAGAAATTTCAAGAATAAAGTCATAATTTTATGAGAAAAACAGTCAATATTTCAAGAAAAAATTATGAGAATTAAAAATGTAAAATTTTGAGAGTAAAAACACAATTTTTTTGAAATACATATTTTTGTGAAACTTCTGCTAAAGTAAGTTCACACGATGCTCCACGTTCCTCATTTTAAAGCTTCTGACATTTCCCCTCCAAGACAAAACTGAACCTCAAATTACAGCTTTATTCTTGTAATATTATGACTTTTTTTTCTTGAAATATTATGATTTTATTCTGAAAATTGCGACTCAAATTTTTATACAGTGTAACAGCAGCACATGTACATCAGCCAGCTGACCCAGTAATGTCTGCTACACAGCAATATCTACCTTGTATTTGCTACTTACAGGGTAGCTTCTGTTAGCCACCATAAGCTTCTGGTCATACCAGACCAAGTCAGGCAGCAGAAACAGTCCAGGGTGACCTGAGAGCTGGGTGGGTGCTCCTGACCAGCTGCCTCTCACTGCCCTGCTCTCTCTCCGTGCATCTCCTGACTCTTCACTGTCGCTGTTGAATCAAGGCAAAAAAATAAAGAAAATAATAACTTAAATATAAAACTCCATAGTCTATTGAACTGAGCAAGGCTGTTTCATTAGATATAAATTCCATTTTTTATTTGGAAGAGGAAGATTGTTGTTTATTTTGACAAAACCACACACTCTTTCTTCATCATTTGAATCATTTGACCCGACTGTCCTCCCCTCTGTGCTTCTTTCTCAACTTTAACCCTGAGTTGAACTTTGAAGGTTTGTAATACCTTGCTTTTGTTTTTTAGAAAGTGTTACTATTTATTCTTAAATATTTCTGACAAATACTTGTCCTTTTTAAAAGATGATACTATTTTGTAATTTGCATTTGGGTGACTTTAAATTTCCATACTGGTGTAAGTGAATGAAGATGGGCTTTAAAAAGAAAAGGGCAGTGTGGTTGTTAACATTAGCTTGTATCTGCTCTTTCTGGTCTGCTTCTGTTCTATGAAAGGATAAATATCAGGAAAAACAATCTCCAATGTTTACATATTGCTATTTGCATGCATGGGGCTGGCACTATATTGTTATCGTCATAATTTTCAACATTATAAATTCGAATTGTTACATAGATATGATGTTATTGTCGAAGCTTCACTTGTAGTGGAACTACAACATGATGATCAGCTCATCAGTGATGAATGTGACACAGAATATTTTTTTATAAAAGTTTTAAAACATGTGCTAAAAAGAACAGCTAAAGTATTGTTGCTGAGCATGTGTGTGTGGTGTGTGTGTGTGTGTGTATCTGTGACTGTGACTGTGGTCTATGTGCATGTGGTTTGAGTGACCCAAAAGACTTCTCACTCTGACGCTTGCAGGGCTAACAGCAGGAAGTCTGTCTCTACGTTTTGACGCATGCAGAGTGTGATGCAGCAGACTGATAATGCAAGCTCTCGCTGATTACGCAGATGTACACTGGTGCCCTGGAGCCGTCTGTGTGGTGTGACTTCTTGTTTGTCTACATGTACTTCTCTCTCTGTATTTACAGCTCTACACGTGTTGGCCGGTCACTTCGGTGCAGATTGAAAAATCTTAAATCAAATGCAATTAAATTTTGTACAAACATTCAACATCTCCAGAGCGTGAATCCTAATGACTTCGGTATGTTATTGAGTGGAAATGCTGTTAAAGTGAAGCTTGAAAGAAAAATCTGAACTGCATTTTTTTTTTTTAATCAATTCTTTATTTATAAAAGACGAGAGAGACACATCGCACTACAAACATTTTCTCATCTTTAAACCCACCACTCCCCCAGAGAGCACTGTTACATACAGTATATAACAATATCAGTCAAAAACAGCGTTGCCCTTACCACCTTCCCAATGTGGACGACCCCCCCCCCCATTCCCCCTCCGCATCTCTCCTCATAAAAACAAAACTAGCAAAAGAAAAACCCCTAACCCTTTTTCTTTTTTCAGGCTTTTGCCTTCTATACAGTCATAGAGAGAGAGAGAGAGCGAGAGAGCGAGAGAGAGAGAGGCAAAGGGCCACAGGCCTGTCTCAAACCCAAGCCGCGGCGACTAAGTCTAAATGGCTGGCGCTCCCCCCAGGTGAACCACCGGGGCAGAGACAGACTATCTTCCTTATTTTGTCTCTCACACAGAGCACAGCCTCGCAGTAAGCTAACATTAGCATGCTAACATACTAAGAGATGTTTGTCAGTATTAAGTGGAATGGAGGCTGCCGCTTGGTTTTCATTGCACCCACATGTAGCCTAAGGCTTGTTAGTGCCACTAGAAACAGGGGCGCTGCTTCTTGTGTTTTGACTTGATAGAGTGCAGAAAGGTTTTTATTTCTCCTTTTATTTTTACCTTAGAATATAAAACCGCCAACTCATGTTTGAGTCCTCTTTCTGTTGTATTTAGCCTTTGATTTAAACAACATCTGCTTGCCCTGTTCCCCTCTTTAAGTTATCCTCACACTTTGACCAGTTCCAACTGGTTATGTTGCTTCCCTCTTCCCCAACTGCGAGCCGGGACGTAACAATTATCAATATTATTACTAGTTTTCATCAATAGATTACATGTTACAATTTGCTGTTGAAACCTTGCTCTGCTATATTGTTGTAGAAAAGTCAAAGGACACACTTTTCCTCCAGGTACTGTGCTTGAGTACAGGCTTTGAGTCGCCGTACTTTCCTTCTTGAGTGACTCTGGTTCTGTTAACAGCTGTTCTGTCTCTGTATTTCAGTACTTGGTGGTGTGATGTTATGGTTGGCTGAATGTGAGTTACCCGTGTTTATTGGTTTTGGGAGATTAATAAATACAGTTGTCAGGTGAAAATGAAAACGACTGTGTGAGAAAACAAGAATGTTCTTTGTGTGTCATCATATTTGTTTTTGTAACAGCATCCTTCCTCTGGAGGTACTTATGAAGTAGTATGTGTGTGTGTGTGTGTGTGTGTGTGTGTACTCAAAGTATGTAAACAGTGCGGACACAAGAGGACTTTAAATGTGTGTGTGTATGTGTTTTTTAGAAGCTCTGAAATAGTGTGGATTTTGTGTACTGAGAGGTCCGTGCATGTGTGTGCGTGGTTGCGGAGAAAATGCATGTGTGTGTGAGAGTGTTTGTATTAATCTTGGCAATATCAGCTGCTCCTGGCTGCTGCTGTCACCAAGCAGGAAGTCACATTAAACTTGGGTAATATTAGGGTCAGAGGTAACTTGAGAGACGGAGATGAAGGGAGATGAGAAGAACAGCAGGACGAAACAGAAGCAGAGAGAAGTTTGTTGAAACTGGCCCTCGTTACATCATGAAATATTTACTAGATTCGCTTCTTTTTCTACTGCCTCAATTCCTGATCCATTCAGCCAAGCTAACTGTGACACGTGTTTATGTTTCCAGTGTGATTTTACTGTAACCCAGCAGAACAATAACAGAAATACAACAGTAACATTATCAACTTGAATTATTTTAGAAGAAATCAGGAAACTTGTCACTGAGAGCTGCCTGTTGTTGGGAGTGTTCTCTGCTGTGTTCCCTTCCCTCTTGTGTCTGTTTGTCCCCAGTTTGTTCTCTGTGTCTGTGTCTGTGTCTGTGTGTGTGTGTGTGTGTGTGTGTGTGTGTGTGTTGGTCTGCGCAGCTGGGCATGGGCTCCTGAGTCTTCCTTCACACCTGATAAGCATCTTGTCATCAACGCCACCTCTTGCTGCAGGATATAGAAACCGCTTCAGCTCACCACTCTTTGCCAGATCGTTCTGTCACTCATAGTTGCATCACACATCTCCTGACTCCAGTTTATTTTCCTGTTTTCTGTTTTTTGGTAATCTGCTTTTTTGCCACCCTGCTCAGCTCTGCCTCTTCTTCCACCAGTCCAGGTCAGTGTTTTTGCAGGAGCCATATTGTTTCCAGGTTGTCCGTCCGTACGCATGGACGATTCTCGTGGACA